GGTCTTGCACAGTGTTATGTTGCATGAACTTTGAGCGGACGAATATCTTTTGCCATGTGTGTGTGTGAGAGCGTGTGCCTTTGTGCTTGGGTATAAGCTCAATTCAAGTGTCGAGCCCCATTGATTATGAAAGTTACCGACATGGCGATAAAAACGAGCGCAAAAAACTGTTAAATATGACAATGGAAGGAATAAAAATATGAGGAAGACTGAGAAAAAATGGAAAATAAACAGCAAACGGTTTGAATATAAAGTCGTTGAATTTATTTAGTATACAAAGCCAAGAATAACTAACGCAAGTCTAAAAGACCATAAAGACCAAAGGAATTTATGGTTAAACACAGTAACGATGAACAATAAGAATTCACTCAGTCAGTTAATATATATATATATATATATATATATGTGTATACGGTACATACAAATGTATATATATGCATGTGTACAGATGCATAGCAATATAAGGTTTTATGAACATCAGTAGCAACGAATGGGAAATAGAAAATATTCAAGAGTAGCGCAATAACAGACAACAACAATGGCTGGTTACACTGGCATTAAAATCGAGAACGTTTAGGGAAATCAAAAATCATTGGAGTATTCTATGCATATACTCTATATACATTCTATACATGTATAAATTACTGTAAGAAATTTAGAGACGAGAACACAAGGCATGTTGACGCAAAGAAATCACGCATAACTAATTAGGCATCAAAGATGAGAACACGTAACGGTGACGCAAATTTAACCTGAAAGTTTAATACAATGTAGAATCTTTCATCATTTGTGTATTTTGTTGAACTTGATTTTCAACTCTTTCACCGATTACGCGATTTGCACGGCCGTCCCTCATGCAAAACCAATCTGTCAAAGCGGACAAAATCTTTCAAATCTCGTACTAAATGACCAGTACCAGAGGTGAAGTGCAAAAACGCCCAATTGCACTTCATTCTCAAATCAATCGTCAATTTGCAATTTCGCAATGCTTCCAGATATAATTGGGTATAATTGAAATCAGCCATTATTAAGTACCACTAACGACCGCAAAACCGCTGATAACAAATTTTGTTAATTTGCAAGACTTTCTAAAGCGTGTATTGTCTTATAGTTAAGTGATAGATTTTAACAAGTTCGTAGTACATCAAAACAAGTCCGTCCAAATAGGATGATTTATTTTTATTATTTTTTTTTTATTTTTGAATATCGTTTTTAATGAACTGAGTCCTATATGTCAAGGGTATCAGTAGCTTGTATGGTATATAAAAAGGGACGTAAGGTGAACATTGCAAACTTTATCTGATGATATGTTAATTTTAAGATAAATTTAAGAGAAAACACTAAGACATTATATGCGAAGTGATCAAAAAATTGCTCCGATCCGAACCATTTTGAACCAGATTCATTTTTGGACCGATAAACAAAAGATAAGCAATAGACAGACAGAAATCCTAAATGCATTCAGTAAATGAGTCTAGTTTAAGTCTTTCTGGGTGTTGCATACATACATCCGCACAAACTTAATATAGTCTAAGAAAGAGTTAACGTTCATAATGTAACTTAAACTGTCTTTCGTTATTTTGAGTTATTTGCTGAACTCGACTCTCGCTACTAACTTTGTCTTCCGCAAATTCATTCCACTTATATACTTTTTCATAAACAAAATTCATTTCGACATTTCTAATCCATTAATCCGTTAATCCGTTTTCCCGCTAAATTTTCTAAAAATTGTTTTTAATCTTATCGCCAGTCGACAACTGCAACTGAGGCGAGATAACGGCGCTATATATGTGCATTTGGTTTTCCCTTTTTTTTCGAATTTCGCTTCTTAGAAACTCGTCCTGTTTTCATAAAAACTCAAATCATCAAATATAGTATTTCCGTAACACTGTCTTCCACTTAATCTTCTTGTTCCTCTCCCGAACGAGGCCGTTTTGACAGGCTGTCAATCTGCTTACGTATGTCACCTTGAGTATAGCTTTTCTTTGCCTTTCGAATGTTTATAGATCCGATAGACTCCGCCAGTTATTCTCGTAAGAACTTTATACGGTTTTTCCAGTGAGATTGCAAATTTGCTGGCAATCTGTTGCTACACGATGATTTACACAGTTGCATTCGGTCTCCTTCAACAAAGCTTGCTTTCCGATCACTTCCTCATCTTCTCATCAACTTGTCACTTGCTATTTGATTTCTGTTTGTACATCGTTTTGGCCGCCCTAGGCCTTTCAGCTATGGCATACTACCCAGTAGAATTTCTGTGTAATTTCCTCAACAGTTTTCGTGACACTAAAGTGCTCTCCATTTGACCGCTTAGGCTATTAGGACTACTATTGCGTTCAAAAAAAATTTAAAAAAAATATTTCCAGAGTATTTCTGTTTTCTATTTTAATATCTTCAAGTTTTGCCGGTCGCGCAAGTCGCAAATTTGGTTTCGCGAGCAAGTCGTGGAATACTTGGATGTATATTTAGAAGACGAGAAGACTTGATTGTTGAATTGAAATGTGAATAATGAATGAACGCTTTTTATTATCGACTTCGTTCTAATATAGTACCATAAGTTTAAGAATATGCTTACGTTGACGGAAATGTTAAATGTGAACAAATCCTTATGCTAGAAAAATAGAAATGTTTACACTAGTGATATGAAAATGTTTATGCAAAAAATGCTTATGCTTGTGTTGTAATGAATGCTTGGAATACGAAAATAATGCGTGAGGGTAAACTATTGTTTTTTGGTAGAGCGATAATGCTACACCACCGACAACTTTTTTGTGCATGAACTGCTTTTACTCCACCATATCCAGCATCGACATCTGTGTTCGAAAATAAGACTTTCACACTGAGCTCAATACGCTTTTGATATGAAAGTTTTCTGTCGATTTGTTCCCTGGTCAGACGTACACCTTTATTACCAAATATTATTGCCTTGGAGTCACAATCGGCCAGTTCATCGATGCGTTTCGTACGCCTTCTTTCGCTAACTTTAAATTTGTCTGTACAATCGTCCAACAAACGACAACATTTTCCTTAGCTTTCTATTTCCCAAGCATGTGTTCCTCACAATCTTCTCTACTTTGTGGAGTTCTTAAGAACTTCTGTCCTCTTAATCTCCTCTAGCTACAGCAATCATCCGCTAATTTTTTCGATTCATTTTTTTCTACGTTGCGTGTATTTTGGACACCACACGAACTCTTATGTTTGACGCCCATCTTAATATTGCTGGATAATCACAAACGCGATTCGTTCCGGCGAAATTTGGATACACGAGCAAAGTGCCCAAGTTTGTCGCAACTATAACATTTGCGCGTGATTGCATCTGATCGCTTCTTGTTTTAATGCTTGAGTTTTAGCACTACTATCTACAACACTAACTTGCAGATTAGCCATTGATTGATTTAACACGTCTACGTCAATCCTTAAGATTGTCATCTCGCTTAACGCTCCACCAATTTCTCCTTCTAAGGCTTCCATTTTGGCATCAAACTGACTCACTACTTCAGTAGCTTCCCCGGCGATAACTTCGATTTTGACTGCAAACTGCACAGATACTTCGTCGCCGTCGCTAGCTGGTTTTGTTCATCGAATGTTGATGCCATTTCTATCACCTGTTGTTGTTGTTGCCTTTGTTACAAAATTTCTGATGCCATTTCCTGCCATTTTGTTCGATATTTGCCGTTTTTTCCGATATCGCGTTTCCGTTCGCTGTTCTACACCTTGCATTTGTTGTTGCATTTGCCACATGAATTGTATAATAACGGCATACGATGTACTTGTATCATCTTTGCCCATTTTCTCGCCCCGTTTTTCCTCGGTTATATTTGTATCGTCTTCCACTTCGTCAGCGTTCCGTTCGAATTCGCATGCCTAAATGTCTTTTCCCTTCTTTTCCAGGTGTTCACTTGAACCTTAGGACAGGCTGTCCGTATGTTTTTTTCTCGAACGCGTTGATTGAGCTTTTCCCTTATTAGATCTCCTAAACCACCTACCATCCCTTTTGCTATAAATCACATATCCACTTCTGACACCAGTGCCATGTAAATTCAACTTTAATAATAATTTTACATTATTTACTCAATTCCTTTTGAAACGAAGTTCGTACCACTGAATCAGGAGATTCTCTTGTATTGCTAACTTCGCACACATCATTTGACATGATTCGAATCCACTTAAAATAAATCGATAGTAATTAAGAAATTTATTGCAAATCCCTTTTCAATTTTCAACTTGTCAAAGTTCACCATTGGTTTAATCATTGATCAATGATTTGGTGATAAGCAGTTCACAAACACAATTCCATAGAGTGCATGCCAAAGTATAAGCATCATCGTAAGTTTCTTAGTTTATCAACCTTGTTCTCAATTTTTTTACCCCAGAAACTTCTTCGATTTGGTTTACAAGCTTACTAATGCTAAGACATCTTAGGCTATTATTGTGAATTAAGAAAATGAGTTCCTAAAAATTGTTTATCATTTCAAAAATACAGGAAAATTCGAAAAGCATGTCCGCATACATAAATCAACGTAAGGTGCCACAATGCATCTTAAATAATACAATGTCTTGATATGATAGACCATTGAATCTAATTTTATACATTTTTGCAGAATTTTCGCACATCTGTATTTTTTTTTTTTTTTTTTTTTTTTTTTTTGCACATCTTAGTTGTTATTTCATTTCTTGTCACTCGTCCCCTCACAATGTTCTCTTGTTGCTCGTTTTTTTGTTAGTCATTACCAGTTCATTATGGGATTCTTTGGTTTTGCCGTTCGATACCCCTCTCCAATCGTACCAACACTCATACATTAGTTTATCGGTGTAGTTCTCACTTTTTTCTCACTTACTAACTAAGAAAGGAAGACATATTAACTCTTTTACATCGTTCGTAAGGCCGAGATATGCTCAAGCGTACACAAATAACAAAAATATTCATAAGTTTTGTTAAGTTAATGCTATTTTATCTATCGCGTGAAATGCAAAATGATGTTTTGAAGCATAATTCTTACTTTAATTAAGTATGTGTTGGGTATCCAAGATTCGTCTTATAGTGGATGAAAATGTCTACTCCATTTTAATTCCTTTTCTCCATTATTTTGATAATATTTTTCATTATGTTACTTCTGCCAAAGCTTATTCTGCTGGTATTGTTTTTCTCTCCATAGAAAGATTGCAATTAATTAAGTCACGTATTTAATTCGATTTGTAATACGGATTCGTAAAATGCTCGAAAACTTCCAAGTTACTTGGACGCCCCTCATTTGTTTAAAGGGACTTACGTTACGACATTACGAGTTAAGCTCTTGTCCATGCTATGTTCTTGTTTGAGACTGAAGTAATATTAATCATGAAAGTTGAAGAAATGCTTTCTAAAGAATTTATTTTCATACTGATATTAATTTTATTAATAGCAATTGTTCCTTAACTTGGTGGATAATAAACGTTGAGTTAAGAAACTAAAAAAACGTTATCAACGTGCGTGCTGCTTACAAAATTTTATTAAACTTTTTTTTTTTTTTCGCACTCCCTTTTTCTTATCTTTTTATAGCTCTTACTTTATTGATTAATAAAAGTTTTTAAATATAGAATTTTTGTCTTGGACAGATTCGTGAACACCCATCACCATTATCATCATCATTAATGGCATTATAAGCGAACTGATAGAATTTCGTTTTTTCAAATTTTTCATTATTGTGCATGTGTTAACGGACAGTCCCAGAGAATAGAAAATGTATTTGCCAGGATTTAGATTTCTACTTCATTATATTCCGATTTTGATCATTCAGAGACGGACGACAAACAGAACGTAGATAAATTGTTTTAAAGCCTAACGTTTGCTTAAATTATAATTATACAATTAATTAAGACTTTCGTATATGTTTCGGATTAACAAAACGCCGAAAAAATTTATACGGTAATGGATAGAACGCAGCGAATTGCAAATTATTCTTATTAAGCTCACCAAATATATAGAATAATTTCAATAGCGACGAAATTGTTTTTTAAATTTATCGTAATGGTAATCATCCGTGGCGCGTTTAACACCATTTGGGCCCAATTGATTGTGATGATTGTTTTGATCATCATTTACTTCTTTCCTAAAGTTTCTGCGTCTGTTCTCATTGCCGTCATCAATATTAACTGAAAGCAAATTCAAGAATAAGCTAAAAACGAGAATTAATATTAAACATCTTACAGCGATTGTGCTGCATAAAATTCACTGCCATATTGGTGGGTACAAATTGGGAAGGACCGTCTTTTTTATTTTTCTGATCTTGCAATAATCTCTGTTTTGCCTCTTCGGTAGCTTCGATATTTCGAATTTTGGCATCGATGCCTAAATCAACCTCTGGTATACCGTTTAACATTTGATTTGACAACATTTCTTCAGAACGATGCGACGATGATTGCCTAAGATGCTCGGGCAAAGCCATTAAAGCAGCTTCTTCAGGCGTTAAATATTTCTGGAGGTCATTCGTTTCTTCTATTTCACTGTTAAGACTATTATTATCGTTGTTCATATCAATAGTCGTAATACCCTTGCGTTTTTGCAATTCCTGTTCAATATATTTCATCATTTCTTCATCTTCGTCGCGCTTATTCGTCTCGGCAGAAAATTGTGTGCCAATGCCCACATCATAAGCGTCATCACATTCTTTCAATTTACCCGATTTTAAAGCTTGCATATTAACCAAGCCCCCCGCTTTAGCATTGAAAGGATCTTTCAAAGTGATCTCTTCTTCGGGTGCCAGCTTTTTGCCTAAAGCTAGACCAACCACACTGACACCATGTGGACGTTCTCGCAATTTTTGGCGTACTTTAATATTTTCCAACGAAACTCTTAATGTGAATAAAAAATGTTAGCTATTTGCAAAAAAACACTAAGTACTTAAATGAAATCCTTACATATCCTCTTGACTATCTTGCTCCTCTTCAGACTGTTTACGCTGTCGTAAACTCCTCTTAGCTGTCCTTTTAAATACAACTTTCCCTGCGGCATTATCTTCTGCTATTTCTGTTATTACACCAGCCATTACTTCAATTCATTAATTCAATATTATGCTTAACACTAATGTGCGCAAAGCTATATAAAAGTGTTGATTCTGATAAACAACTGATCAGCTGTTTGTTTGAAGTACGTTGACAATAGTTACTCTGCCGCAAATTTGGTCTCACTTTTTCATTATTATGTAAATCTTATTAGTTTGGTTGCACTCTACTTTAGCGACAATTGAAGCTCACATAACCGCAAATATTTCCTTCTGCCCCAGTAAGTGTTCTTTTTTTTACAATTTTTAAGTAGCTTTTAATTAAATAGATAATAAAGCATAAACTTTGTAATTATTTTTTAGCAAATTCATCAAAAAAGTTACAAAATGAATTTTACTCGGATTTTATTACGTCAAATAACATTTCGTTCTGCTTCGCGTTTGTTATCAACTGAAGTAGCCCCCGCTGCTACTGCTGGGTCAGCTAGTAAAGATACCAATGCACCTACTGCTGATGCAGCGGGTAAAGATAAAAATATGCCTGCTAGCGGTAAAGTAGGTAAAAGCTCAAATATACCTAGTGCTGCTGCAACCGGTAAAAGTTCTAATGCTCCTGCTGCTTCTGCAACCGCTAAAGTTGCTAATGCTCCTGCTACTGATGCAGCCCGCAAGGATATTGTCGCGCCTAAAGCGGTAGTAGAAAAGTTAGTAGTTCCTGCACCAGAAGGTGAGGAGAAACCAGTTAATCCAAAATTGGAGAGCATAGTCAACAGTATCGCTGCATTAAGTTTGTTGGAGGTCTCCGAATTAAGTTCGTTATTGAAAAAAAGATTGAATGTGCCGGAAACGGCCTTCGTAACACCACAATTCGCTCCTGGACCAGCAGGCGGACCTGCTGGTGCTTCCGCCGAAGAAGAAGAAGTAGAAGCTCCTAAAAAAGTGCAAACCGCCTTTAAAGTAAAACTGGTTAAATTTGATGAGAAGCAAAAAGTTGCTCTCATCAAAGAAATAAAAAATCTTCTAGAAGGCATGAATTTAGTGCAAGCGAAGAAATTCGTCGAGAGTGCTCCCACAATTGTTAAAGAGGACTTACCTAAAGAGGAAGCTGAGAAGCTTAAAGAAGCATTAACGAAAGCAGGTGCCATTATTGAAATTGAGTAAAAATTATTTACGTATGTTTAAAGCGTCATTAAGTTTTCATAAGTTGCATCAGTTAGCTTATATTTAGTAATTAAGCAACATTTATAGTACTGTGTCCATTAACAGCGGCTAAAAAGTTAATAAAAGGTTAACAACATAATTAATAAGGTGTTCGTCTAAAATAATCCCGTAATCCATACCACACCCAGGTTTCAGATTTTACACGCTAGAAATTTTACATATGGGGAAGTTCGCAAAGTTGTATTAACGCGGTGTTAGGCTGTGCTAGCTTGGCCCAGATCGAGTACAGCTGCATTTATCCTCGCGCATACACACTCACAATGCTTAGTTTAATACGTCAAATATCAGTCATCCTTAAACTAAGTAAAGATCCCTGGCGTCTTGAGGCTTCACAAATTTTCTTTAATTTAATTTACATACCTGTGTTTATCAAGAATTTTATGGTTAAAATATTTCTTTTAGTGACATGATTGTCTTCATTTTTTCGCCGCTGTCCTAATATTAAAACAAAGAAAATTTTATTACAACACATCTACTGTTACGTATGTTTCGTGAGAGGGGGGGCATTGCTCACATGAGAAATTACTTCTTCAAAATTAGAAAAAAAATCGCTTTCCCAAAAGAGACCTTGATCATAAACCGTGATGGTTGGTATCAAAAACGTCTTCGCCGTCGAAACGTACATCTCGCATAGAATTGACATTATCGTGCTTATAAGTTAAGATGCGATGCAATCGTTATTATGTGTAGATTAATAATATCAACAAAATGCCTAAGAATATTTTTTTTTTCTAGTTTTGTCAAGATACGCGTGTTCAATACCATTTTTTACATACATCCATCTAAACATAACGGAGCATAATGTTAAGTAAATTAAACTGTTTAAGTAATTGTAAATGTATGGTTATATATTTTTCCAATTAGCACGTTTTGCTAAGGTGAAAGCAAGTATACTGAAACTGTTGCTGCCTGTCTTCAGACAAAAATGAATTGAATTCAGTTTACACTCAGATAGCATACATATTAAATGAATAGGGCGAAATCGAATTTCGAGCGACAAAGGATTCAATGGTATAATCGTTTAGATATTATCCACCAAGAACAAGAATGTTTAAAAAGTAAGGCGCATATATAGAGTATAAAGAAAGTTCGGTTCAGTTTGAGTAAAAAAAATGTTTTTGAATCTTCATAAGCGCTTGGTATACGATTTCGTGTAGCAGCGTCAGTTACCATTAAAAGTTTCAAGTGTACTGACAAGTTTTGATTCTTAAGAAAAAAAAAGAAAACGAATCTATGGAAAATATGTTCAGCTTGATCATAACAATTTATTTAATCGTTAATATAAACTGTCAACACACATTCTTAAATAAAAAAGAAACGGAAATGTTTTATTTGAAAAACTCTCGGATTCCACGATGTAAGTAAAAAAAAAAAAAAAGAGTAAAATGAAAATTTTATCAAAATGAAAGTTTTGAGGAAAGACTAACTTAATATTTCTACTCAGAAATAGAAACTTTCATAAAGGTCAGGTAGTTCTTTATGTCTAAGCTTCCAAAAACGTTAAATAAATATCCATAAGATCTTAATAAATTATAATTAAAACTGAGAGAGGAAGAAGAGAAAAACCTTATACATATATATAGAATGTACAATTAGAATCGAAACAATTGCAACAAGTTCTTTTTGAAGAGTTCTTAAATTTGTTCGAAAAGGATATTTTAACGAAATATTGCCATGCTACGCGCCCTACGCTAACAGCCAGTAACAATATTTGTAGATTCTGTTCAGCCTAAACAGTTTTTAAAAGTGAAAAGGTATTTGTTTCCAGCAATTATTGACTATATGTATACAGACGGAGATGGTTAATGCATGGTTATGCATACAAGTACATTTTTTTTACGCTTTTTTTTTGCTTTTATAGTCCGACGCTGCATTTTTTTAGGTAATTCACATTTCCACCAGTGAAAAAGGGTACGCGAAGAGGGTCGGATGGAGAAAAATCCATGTATTCCTTATCAAGGACCACATATATATATTGTATATATATATATATATATATATAATAAATTCAAAGCGATTAACCGTATCCGTCTACGTCTACGTTGTAAGAGTTGACATAAACATTGAGGTATATATGTAGGTATAATCTTAATTGCTAGAAAGTTTAAAGACGGATGTGCCGCAGTCATAGTAGGCGAAAAGTTTCAACCTTTCAGTATTGAGATAATTTTGAAATACTAATTTACAACTTCGTGCAAATATTTGCTGGCGATAGTTGCAGCTTCTTCAAGAAACTTCTCCGCACACAAACACCCCCTTAACAAAAGGTAAAAAAACTTTAGTTTGAGATCTATAGAAGATACTGAATTTCGCACAAATATTTCTTAATTGAAAAATCAACGTAACTCAAGTTCCGATTGAGCCATTCAGAGGCACGAAATTTTAAATTACGTACATCAAAACTTCACCCCAATTGTTAAAGGATCACAAAAAGCTACAATCGAATTTTGATTTAAGCACATCGTCTCCTAATTAAAGAAATTATAAGGAATAGTATTGAAAATCCTAATAGCTGATCCGCGAAGAAAATGTCAAATAACAAATTAGTAACGTCAGAGTTTCCGTATTTAAATGACAATTTTATTTGCCTAAGAACGGCGTGTACCGCAAAAATTTACCGTTACAAAGAATTGGTTTTCCCACCTACTTCCTACTTTTAAAAGTCAAAGCTTTCTCAGTGCAAAACCGATCCGATCTGCATCAGTTCTGGCCAAGATTGTCTTTGAAATAAACAGCAGCAGTATTTTTCGATGTGACTTTTCTGTAATACACTATTTCCGATATTATTGAGTATTTTTTGCTTAAGAAGTACAAGAAAAAGCGCATAGTTCTTACTTAGCACATGTTTTTTGTCAATTTTATTCACACTTGAAAAAACTGCAAAATAATAAAAAAAATAAAAAAAAAAATAACAAATAAGTAAATCCTGCGTCCGTTTTGCATGCAATGTTTCTAAAGCCTCTTTCTAAACTTGATTCGCTAAAAATTGCAATTCGTTTTTCCAGCACTGTATGTACCACGCACATACTTACATTCTCTCAGAAAGCAATTTCTTCGGGTGACTCAAACGATGATGATCACTTAAAATGATTGGGGAATTTTCTAATTTTCGTTAGTGCACAACAAGGAACCTTGCAAGCTACTTCTTATTAAGAATACAGCAGCAGAGAAAACAAAATATGTTTAAAATCTTAAGTGTGCTTTTTCTTCACTATTTACTGGCATCTGGCCAGGCTTATGATGTGCCTAAAGCCAAGATTGAAGTTAATTGCTCTAAGGGCTTCCAAGTTTCTATACCGCATGCAGATGGCATCACATTGTTCGCTTTTCATGCAAAGTTAAATGAAGAAATGGACGGTTTGGAAGGTGGAACTTGGTCGCGTGACATTGTGAAACCGAAAAACGGGAGCTGGACTTTCACGGACCGTATAACAAAATTGAAATTGGGCGACACGTTATATTATTGGACTTACGTTATCTATCAAGGTTTGGGTTATCGCGAAGATGACGGCGTTTACGTTGTAAATCGCTGTATTAATTCAAACACAACCGTACCAGGCAGATGTGAGGCACCTTTTACCAAAGTCAATGGTTCCTCTGTGACGTGCAGAAATGAATTATTATTCGAGGAGAATTTTGACGATCAAGTTTTAGATAGCAATAAGTGGAAATTAGAAGAACGCCGTGCCAACCAGCCTGATTATGAATTTTGCCTTTATAAGAATGATGAAAGCGAAGTTTTGCGATTACATGACGGTATGGCTACCATCAAACCCAAAAAAACCGATTCTATATTAGGTGCAAATAGTATAAGGAAAAATTTCGATGTAGGTCCCAATTGTACCGGTGAGTTAGGATCGGTGGAATGTCATTATGAATATGGTCGTAGTCCTGACATACTCGAACCATATATATCAGCACAGTTTTCCACAAAAAAAAAGTTTACTTTTCAATATGGTCGGGTAGAAATACGGGCAAAATTGCCTAACGCTAAATGGGTCTTCCCGCAGATATGGCTGGAACCGACTAGCTTTAGATACGGTCATAAAGATTACCAATCCGGTCAAATACGTTTAGCCGATAATCGTTTTAATGGCCATAAATATCGTCTACAAGCAGGAGTTATTCTAAATGCCAAAGAACCTTGGCGCTCTTTAAAAATGTGTAAGATTGAAGGAAACCAATCAATCGATGACTTTCATCTGTATGTCTTGATGTGGACGCCCAATTACATGGCATTTTCTAAGGATGGTGATGAATATTGTCGTATCGAAATTCAAGATGATGATCAAGCTTTTCAGAATTTACGCGTGAATAATGGCAAGCGGCTACCGAATCGTGAGTTGTTAACTATGGGTACAAAATGGGCACCATTTGATCAAGAATTTTATATTACGTTGGGTTACGGCATTGGAGGCAACAACGACTTTAACGATAATACTTGGTATGAGGGGAGGCCATGGACCGAATCTGATCCACGCGCTAAAAATGTCTTCTGGAATTATATGCGAGATCGTGACGAATGGTTAAATAATGGTGAATTGAAAATCGACTTTATTCGAGTCTATGCGATATAAATTAAAATAAAATATTGACATTTTATTCATGATAATATATAATCTTTGCTTGCATAAATGAACCATTCTAAGTGTGCCGAACCGCGTCGCACCAGCTAATGTTATGCTCTTAAAGCAAATAAAGAAACTTTTATTCAAGTCTTGCACGTTCGCATTTGAACAATGAAAATAAACTGAATAAACAATTAATACGTAGCTGTTTCTTCAAACCTCTGATACTTGATTTGTTTGTCATTTACGAGGAAACATTTGCGAATATATATAACATATTATCTGCAAAAGTAAGTAGTATTAGCTATAAATAGGAAAAACAAAAAATGAAAAAAGTAAAATCTAAAGCAGCAAGTAGCAAGCAGCAAGCAGTAAGCACATCGTCATCGTCTCGATTTTCAAAAAATCCAAATTTAATTCGTACTTAAGTCACTTACAAATGGGCTTCTTAGGATGCTTACGCTTATATTCTTTATATTGTAATACGTAGAAATGATGAAAAACGGTCGATTTATATGAAATATGAAAAAGCTAATAATGAATTTGATGACAGGTCGAGTAGATTAGAATCATCTCACTCACTATTGCTACTATAAGATATTATATATATATATATATATATATATATATATGTATATATACGGGTAAATATAAAAAAAATATAAACTTACCTTTAGCAGTCATTGAATAATGTACAAGCTTCAGTTAATAAAATTAATTTAGGTTCTACACGATACGCTTGTCATTTTCAATTTTTACTAATTTCCCACTGATTTCATCATTATATTTTTCTTTTATAATTGACATTTAATGAATAGAAATATTCACTAAGCAGCTTTAATGTTTTCACATAGAAAAGGGTTCAATTAAATACGCTTATCAATACGATAATAAAAAATAACAGCGCCTACACAAAATGTTACACTCGACACCGTATCTTATTCAGAAAACTTTATCGACATCAATTTATTTCACTGATTTCTTTTATTAATGTAATGCTCTTTTCCAATATAATTCGAATATTTTTTTTTTGCTTGCCTTTGAATTTAAGTATGCCGTCAATCGGTATTACATTATATGCTTGCTTAAAAGTAACGAAAATCCGTTACTTGCATGAAAACTAACAAAACTAAATAAAAGAAAGAGATAAATATATAATAAATGTAATTAATTGGAGAATGGAATAGAAGTGAAATGAATTTACCCTAGTATAGGGCGAATTGGTTTAGGAGTTTTTAAATGAAATGTCAAAAAATGAACAACAATTGAATTTGTAGACATATATATATTAAGTTTGTAATTCGTTTGTATAGGACTTGGGGCAAAGTATAAATTAGAGCTTGAAACAAGAGGTGTGTGTGTGTGTGTGTTTTTTTTTTTTTTTTTTTGTTACCAACTTATTTGCCCTTCCCGTTCGGTTATTGTTAATCGATAGTCGTTATTGACTCATTTGTATTTGTGATAAGAAGAATTTAAGAGTCCTTATGTCCCTCTAGGGTTTCCTTTTTATACGATTGGTCGTTTTCGTAATGACAATTGCGTGGCCAGCAACAATCAACAGGGCACATGCATGGTTAGAGGAGAGTGTACAGATAATGGCGGCATTTTAGCTGGTAGTTGTTCGACTATAACGAATCAAGCAGTTTGTTGCATATGTAAGTTTTACTTTTGTTTGTTTTTTTGTTTGTTTTTTTTTGTTCTTGTTTTCCTATAATTACAATTCTAATACTTGAAATTATCGCATTCAGATGTTCGGACTTGCGGTGCAACGACACTATATAATAATACATATTTTTACAATGCTGGTTATCCGGGTACTTACAGTGGTGGCGGTAAATGCACTATAGTGGTTCAACCTTGTGATTCTAATATATGCCAGTTACGCATCGATTTCTTATCGCTTTCGTTGGCACCACCCAATGGTGACGGCTTCTGTTTAACAGACTCTTTGCAAATTATGGGAGGCTCATCGCGCGTACCCTCCATATGTGGTGAGAATTCTGGACAACATGTTTATGTAGACTTTAACGGTGAAACACCGATTACGATAGCTATAGCCAGCTCAGTCAGTTATACATTCAATCGTCAATGGCATTTTCAAATAGCACAGTTATCTTGCGCCTCAGCGACTTTGGCTCCATCCGGTTGTCTACAATACTATACCCAAGATACGGGAACAGTACAAAGTTTTAATTATATGTCAGCTGGTAATTCTTTACCCAATACTATAGGAGTGCCAGGTACCCGACAAATAGCTAATCATCGCTATGGAATCTGTATACGTATGGCAGCTAATATGTGCTCAATAACATGGAGTCAAGTCGATTCAGATAATTATTCTTTTACCTTGACTAACGACGTTGGCGCAGTGGATCCTGCTTTATTGGCAACAGCAGCCGTACAGAGCCAAGATTGCAATACAGATTTTATTGTGATACCTAATCCACAACAAAACGGTGAAAATTTACCTAGTGATCGTTTTTGTGGTCTAGGATTGGTAGCCACAACTACTGCCACCAAACCGTTCGTCTTATATGTGAACAACGACGACAACGAAGATTTGGACATATCGAACAGAGGCTTTTATTTGGCCTACGCACAAAACGCTTGTCCAATCGTTTAAAATTGAATTAAAAATAAGTTTCTCTATTTATATTATGAATGAAGTCAAGAAACATATCAAAAATAAATATTTATCCGTAACATACATTAGATCATGGTCTTGATTTTTTCAATTTCAGATTTAAGCTGTTGAATCTGTAAAAGAGAGATGGAGTTTAGTTTAAATTGATGATGAATTGAAACTAACTTTTTGGAAGTGCTTTTGCTGCACACGTGAACTGGCCGATTTGCGGAAACCTTCATCCTCCCAACGAGTACTATAACGTTCTAGCTCTTTCTCGAGCTTTGACAACTTATGGTTATTTACATTAGTTTGGGGAATTGCCTTCTCTTTTTCTTCAGCATATAATTTATTAGTGACTATACCTGCGAACGAAGACAAATTATTATTTAATTGATATATATATATATATTGAATTTGGAAGTAATCGAAGATTCTCTAACCGAAACTGCACATATAACCAGCGGTTGAATAGCATGTCAAGTCCTTATGAATTTGTGCGTTATTTTGCAGCAAACGCAACTCGACAGTGTTGGTTAGCGTCAGCGCCTTAATTTCACTGAGATGTGGTTGCAATATGCTTAAAGCTTTCAAAGAATGGGCATATACTCTAAGATATGGTTCATGTTTACGTGAGATTTGACTGCGACTCTTTAGCTGTCTTATCTGCTCGCACACCTCTAAAATTGCCTCGATTTCTGCTTCCAAAGTTGAATTATAAAATTTACATACGTCCAAAGTAATAGGTTGAGGTATGTATTTTAAGAGTTCTTCGCATATAAAAGGTGTAAATGGCTGCATGTCTTGTAAGGCGGACCGAAGGCATATGCAGAGAATGGAACATTGCACATAGCCATCGAGGGACTTCAATTTAATATTATTTTTGGTAGTTTCCTACATGAAGAAAAATTATTAATATAACAGATTTGTTCCTTTTTTCATTTTTTTTTTTTTTTTTTTTTTTCTATTCGCTTTAAACAAACCAAACCTACCAAATAAACATCACATAATTCATTGTAAAAAAATTGTTTAAATCCCGCTGTCGCAAAGTGCAAATTAAAATTTTCAAAACTTTCTCTACATTGCTGGAGAGTATGTGCCAAACGGCTTAATATCCATAAATCCCACTTGGATAGAAGCGATTCATTGAAGTCTTCAAATACTTTCGCGGATATCTCTAGACTCTCAGCCGCCGCTGCAATAAAACGCGCCGCTTGCCATATTTTATTCAAAAACTTTTTGTTCGTATAACATTCGGTGACGTCAAAGTTAATAAAGTGATTTTTAATATTATGGCTGCACAAAGTGAAACGAAGAGCGTCCGTACCGCATTCTGGTATACCACTCGGGAACATTCGATGCACGCCTATTAATGATTTTTGAGTTTCAAGGTCGTTCAAGATACCCGCCTTGTGCGAGACTTCTATTTCTTTTTGCAAATCCTGATATAAAATTAAATGTCAAGCAGTACATGAAACTTGTGCTTAAATTAACATTTACCTGTAGAGAGGCTCCGTCCACTACTTGTTGCGGCGTTATTATATTACCTAAACTTTTGGACATTTTTCGACCGTGAGCATCGCAAACAATACCATTTAGCAAGATTTTTTTGAAAGGTGTTTGCCCAGTAAATACCAATCCTAGCATAACCATGCGTGCTACCCAAAAGAATAAAATATCATGGCCAGTTTCTATAAGGTCCAAAGGATAATGTCCTTTAATTTCCTTATTAGGCCAACCTGACACCGATAGCGGTAATAGAGCAGAAGAAAACCAAGTATCCAAAACATCCTGATCACGTGTTATAGAAATATCGATGCTTTTTAACAACTCTAAAGCTTTCATTAGAGCCTCTTGCTCGTCGTGGGCGGCCACCCATACTTCTTTAGCGTTCTCGCTATTACATCGCGCTTTGTATGCTGGAATTTGATGACCCCACCATAGCTGGCGTGATATACACCAATCATGACAGTCTTCTAACCAACGTTGCCATTCCACTTCATATTTACTTGGAATAATTTGTAAACGACCGCTTTGAACTTCCGATAGAGCATTTAAACCCAATTGCTGACATTGTAGGAACCATTGTTCTTTTATCATGTATTCGAGGACATCTTTTGAACGTGAACACATTGGCAATTGCATGCTATGATCACTGATAGCACCTAACAAATTCTGTTCCCCCAATTTTTGTAGAATTTCTTCACGCACTACAAAACGTGGCTTCAAGGCAAATTCTTTATGATCTTCAACGATGAAACCTTTACTGGAGAACACCTGTATGGGATTTAATTCGTGTTTTTTCGCTATCCTGAAGTCGTCACGATCATGCGCTGGCGTGATTTTTACTGCACCCGTACCAAAATGCGGATCAACATCGACATCAAATATCAAGGGTATGAGTTGCCGCCGTATTGGATGCATTAAGCAAACTCCATCTGATTCACGATATTTTGCATAACGTTTATCAAATGGATGCACAGCTACAGCAACATCGCCGAGCATAGTTTCGGGTCGGGTTGTAGATACGGTAATGTAGTCTTCAGTGCCGTTATCCAAAATTTTGTACTTTATATTAAACATACGACCAAATGTTATATTTTTATCATAACCCGGCACAGGCACTTGAGTGGGCCCTTTCAAATCCAACAATTCCACCTCTATATCGGATATGGCTGATTCTAAAGCACAAGACCAATTGACTAGAGATTCTTGACGACTAATTAATCCTTGTTCAAAAAGTCTTATAAAAGCCTCGTTAACGGCATAGGCTTGAGTCTGTAAATCGTTACATGATTGTCTTTAAATTATTTACCCTTCTTTTCTATAACTCTCAGATCATTCATTACCTTATCCATAGTAAAATATTCTCTATTCCAGGACAATATACATCCCAATTTCTTAAGATCTTCTCTAATATTATTGACTTTATCGTCCTTCCATTTCCAAATCTCTCTTAGAAATTTTTCTCGTCCAATGTCTTGCCGAGTTAAACTGTAATCTTTACACAGTTTCTTTTCTACCACCACCTGTGTAGCTATACCAGCATGATCTGTACCTGGTATCCACTCCACATCGTAGCCCAATTGCTTTTTATGCCGACATATAACGTCTTGTATAGTAGCCATTAAAGCGTGACCTAAATGTAAATTCCCAGTAATGTTTGGCGGTGGCAAGAGCATACGAAATGTAGGAGTTTCGCGTTTTGTTTGAACGCAACGTCCTGTTTCCTGTAATTTTTCTCGTTTACCAGCTTCAACTTCTTTGGGTTTATAGGCCTCAGCCAAACCTAAATTCGAAATGATATGATTTCAATCTAAGCATTATAAAAATGTTAAGCGTTTCACCTGCGACGGACTTCCATTTGTAGCGATTAAAGAACACAACAAATTTCTTAAGTTTTTTATAAAAAATTTTATCTAAATTTCCTGACAAACTTAAATTATTTTGCATTTTTAATTATTTTTTATTAAAAGAATCCTCGGGTATTAAACAGTAAGTTATTATTGTCATTTGGCTCAAATTTTTATTTTTATTTATTTTTTTTTTTCTTTTTAACAACAAGAGGAGATTAACAGACACATTAACCGGTAACGTACTGTATCGTACTGTATTTTTTACATATTATATTACCATATGTGCGTATTAGCAATTTGTCAATTGGTGAGGAAGTATCTTCGATAATACCGTAAACGGAGTAAGACTAGTTTATCGTAATATTTCTTCCAACAGGTGACTGTACAATCCCGTAACTATCGTCACAATAACCAGAACGCGAATGTGGTATATGCGTCCGCAAGTAACTGAAAAAGCGAAACTGTTCAAACAAAATCTCCATTGTCGTTAACTCTATTGGCAATAGTTGCGTTTTGAAAACGAGAAAACATTCTGAAAAAATCCATTCTATTAAATTATTAAAATATCAATTCAAGTAAAGTGATAATGTTGCGTTGGGTTGTAATAAAACTTTGCTTTTACAGTGAAGATATTTTATCAAAATCAACAGAACGCGAATGTTTGCTCGTGTCTACTATTGAAATTTCGATGGTAAAGACGTGCTGTGCTCTGATCGATCAATCGTTAATGAAATCAATGCAATTCTTCAGAAAATTGGCGAAAGCCGTCATTTTCTCTATTAGGGTTGGACTTAATATTAAACAAAAAATAGTTTTGAATCACTTGCAAGATTAAGTCGGAACATTACAAAGAGAGGAACACGTGAATTAAAAGCACACATTTAAACTCATTCTAAATATGAGACGAATTGACTTGGATAGTGGGAGAAGAGACGTGACGAAGTTCCTTGGTTAATCTATAGCCTATACTGCCTAGTATAACATACAAAGCAAGTAGAATTTTATACACACGAAAAACTCGGGAACACGAAACGAACAATTATATTTTTATTATAATCTAAGAAGTTACACTTGAAAGCAAATCATCGTAAAATTTGGTAACAATTTGCGTTCACTACTTTGCATTGATTGTAATGTCGTTTCTTCTCTTTTTGTGTGTTTGCTTTGTTTCCAGAATTTATAATTCTAAGGTGGAAAGCTTCGAGACTTTTAGTATGTATAAATATATATTTATTATGTATATATATATATATATACATGTATTTGTGTTTGCACTTTTCCAAACAAAAATATTTTTCTATGAAAGCAAAGTATATTTATTTATACACTAGATTCCCTTGCTGCTCTTTTAAACTGTAAAAACGCCATTATCGCGTCGGTAACCTAAACCATCTTTAAGAACATACGTCCAAAAATAAAGCACGTCTCCCGGTTTTAACTCTGCATTCATGTCATAGAACGTCCACCAACCATTAATCGATTTAGTAATATCTTGAGACCAAGTGCCAGCTTCGAGTCCATTCATTTCCTCATTTAATTTACCATGGAAAGCAAACAGCGTTATGCCTTGTTCATCTGGTATGGAAACTGAGAAGCCTCTCGGTTGAAGCAGCTTGATCTGAGCAGCGGGCACCTGATAAGCAGAAGATGACGGCAGTAAAATATGTATAAAATATACACAAAATAAGATTTTAAACATATTATGATGATAGCATGCACGTTGCTTTTAAAATAGAATAAGTTTTCGTTTCTAATGTTCTTTATATACTGAGTAAATATTAGAGCGGAATTTACTTATGTATTGGATTTATAAGTTTGCCAAATGTAGACATACATGACATACTAGAAAGTGCATAATGCAATCATTACTCAACTTTTCTAAGAAAACTCATCACCGAAAGGAGGGAACACGTATTCAGAACATTGTTAAGATGTTCTCTCTTCTACCATTAAATCGTGAATATGAATAAATTGAAATGTCAACGACAATCAAACTATTTATTACGACATAAGACTTCGCAGGAGGCAAGTAAACTTTAAGTTGATTTTATGCGGGAAATTTTGAATAGGACTGAGCTGGAGCGAATGTGATTTTCCGTCCGTGTGACTTAAATTAGCATTTCAATATCGCATAATTACAACCGAAAGAAAATTAAAAAAGTCTATATTTTGGTCCATAAAAAAGTTCGTAGAAATTGTAGATCGCCTATAATGTCAAACGTGCAACAGTCTGAAAATATTTTATTTAACTTTAAGATTTAATTTTTTCTTGAGACGCATTTTTTATTATACTAACCGATTTAGAATCACTTTTCGCGCCGATCTAACATTGTCTGTCCGTCAGTGCGTTCGTCTGTCGCGTTTACTTGTCTTCGAGCTGCAGGTCGCAATTTGGTACACCGAGGTGGTTTGTGCCAAGAACGAAAGCTATTAAAAATCATCCGGATCGGATCACTTATTCGATCATTTCCCATATAAAGCTTTATTTGAAAAATCCATTATATGAATAACTAGAGGTTGTACGTTATTTAATGTTAGGCCGTGGCCCACACATACATACATACGCAAGACTATGCAGATAATTCGTTTTCATTTCGATCATTTCTACGATGTATACAAAAGGCCTACAGTTCATAGATAACGGTGTGTTTTAATTCCTCTTACATAGTTGCATCTTATAAGGCGGATTCTTGCACTTCTCAGAGGGCTTTTATTGGGATTTGATCACTTCCTAACATTATGCGATAAAAGAATTCATTTCGTATACGATTTTTGTGCCGAACTGCTCTTGATCTGTGGATTGACAGGCAGCAGAGACAATCTCAGAGGTTGATTCTCAAAAAAAAAAATTTAAAAAAAAAAAAATTGGAAAATTGGACTTAAGTAATCTGCCGTTCACACATGACCAGATCGATCAAAAAAAATCTTAAACCAGATAGTAATTGTTTTCTTGTAGAGTGAGAGAAAGGAGCCATGAAACGATGAGCATTTCTCGTGCGTGAATGAGCGAACGTGGAAATTCAGATATTAATAACTGTTTCGGACAAAGCCAATAAAAAAGAGAGCCAGTAAGGATTCAGTTATGGCCGACGACCATCTTCGTTAGACCAAAAAAGGCTAAAACGAAGAGAAATGAAAAAACGCAACTTTTTAAATTCTATAATATTGAGTGGGCGTGGTTGATTATTTCCATTTTTTTTTCCAAGCTATCCATTGCAACATTTAACAATGTCCTTAGAGCGATTTAACCGATTTTCAATATTAACTTGGATGCAGAAGAATCCTCATTGTTACGATCAGGAGAAATTTCGCCGTAGACGGGCAGATGGCGAAAAAATCATCGTCATTAGGTGGACTATGAATTTCTTTCTTCGAGGTATTACAAATGCGCTGATTAACTTAATATATTCCTTCCTATCCTAGGTGATGGAACAGAAAATGTGTGGATTTGTTTTGTTGTAAAGCTATGCAATGCATAAGTACTATATATAGGGTAAAGTATTTTTAAAAAATTATTTTTTTTAAAGAGTTTGGAAAAAAGCCTAAGAAAAATGCACGAATTTTAAGACTGATATTGACATTAAAGTCTCAAAAAAACGTTGAATTTAATGAATGATCAATGACTTTTATTTATTTTGGCACTTCAGCATCTATATCCATTTAATCCATCCATATTTGCATGCATAAAGCTTGCTCATAGCCCTAATACCCGTACAAATATTATTTTAATCAGCTAATGGCGTCGCAACATTTAAACTATAACGAGTATACTCGTTAAACACACAGTATGAATTTGATGGCTATAATTATTGGATTTCATTGTAATGAAATAATATATACATATATATATATATATATTTTTTATTTTATGAATAATACCTAAGCATAGATGGTTGAAAAATCAATGAAATTTGAAAGTCATTAGTTAGATAAGATGATGTGTAATGAAATTGCACATCAATATCTTGATTCTTTCTAAATCGTATTATTTGTTAGACACAATGTGAAAGGACACTTTCATGTACGTACGATTACTTCTTGAAATTTCACGCTCAGCGATAGTTACCCGAATTTGGGTATTTTTCACAGTTTAAACGGAATATGATCGAATTGTGTTTTCAATGTAGTTTTGCAAGAAGTTGATGCGGAATAACTGCATTTCCATTGTTCTTTCCAAATAATATCAGTGAATTTACAAACAACAACAAACGATATCGAAAAACTGAAGATTTATTTTTAATCATATTTTTTAAATTAATTATTTATACATATATTTTAATTGGTTTGCTTTACTATGTTTGGTCTCCTCTTGGTTTCCAAATATTCCAAACAATGAAAATGTTTTATTATACCAAACAACGCTTGTGGAATCGGATATATTAAGTTTGTGCTCATCAGAAGGACTTTAGACAGACCCAACTTTCATCGATTTCCACGTTATCAATGGATCAATGCATCTAAACCTATCTGTCTATGTGACGTCTGCCAGTTTGAAAATTTTTAGATATTATGGCGAAATTTGATACGTTGATGCCTGCTGGTCCAAGGGCAAATCCTACTGGAATTGGTTTAGATCGAATCAATCTCTTTGACCACTGCCCATACAATATTATCAAAACTTTTGAAACTATCCGAATTGCGCGACAAAAATTCCTGAGTAATATTGTTTTGGCGCGAAAGTTTTTGATCAGATGGGGGGCGTACTTTTGAAACCTCTGCCATATAACCGATTTTCCGAAAAGTGAAACTATATACAAAGGCGAAAATGCCTAATTTTTAATATTTTTTCATGAAGTTTTCCATAAAATAATAATTTGATATAAAAATAAAATTTGCAGAATTTGGATCAAGCAGGTCTATTTTTTGGATCTCTCATCCAATCCTATATCAGGATTTTAATGAAAAATAAGCCGAAATTTGTTGAGTTTTTGATTTTTATGATGAAAACTGGTCCGCGAGAGTAATTTGATATATAATTTAACTGAGTGGAATTTGGATCAAGTAGGTCTACTACTTTTCATGAAATATTAAATCTTTAATCTGTTAATTTGTGTGATGTCTTTTATGACAGAAGCAACTGCAAAATAATAAAATTTCTGATAACGATAATAAGTTTGTTCAATTTGGATAACGTTACGTTGAGGTTTTGAATACCGTCGAAAGTGAGGGCTTTCAAGAAATGCATGATATAAAGAATGTATAATTTGTGGTGTATTATCCCCAAAAAGGAATAAATGACTGTATCAGGTGAAATTTTGTAGAGAGTCCACTAGTCAACCTTACCCGACTGTAGTGTTTTTTTATTAAAACTACAGCTTAAATAACAAATAATCGCTACTTTTCACCTATCACGAATATAGTCGTTAATCATCGAATGGATTGGCAGATAAGCAAACGGTCGAGTTCGAAAGCAAACTACATATGCGTAAGGTTTTGCATCTGTGTAATGTTTGTTTATACAGATGGATATATAACAGCCTTCGAACTCATAGCAAACAATAACAGGAACAGAAAAATGTGCCGTCTACTACCCGTTTCTTATTGTGCAATCACTGATAGTGTGGATTGCAAATTCTATAGCTTTTCATTGGCTTTGACTAAAATTAATTTTGATTTATTAAAGAGTTTTTTTACTTAACGCGGTAACCTATTCATTTATATGCTTTACCATTTTCGTCAGCTCTTCATTTATTGTCACTTTAGAAATTTTTACCTATTATCTAAAATTAATAATTATTGTTCAATTATTGTTAATTTTGTTTTTCATTTTGCATATAATTACTTATTAAAAAAATGCCTGCCACTCCTTTCAACTTGTAGTGATATTATATGTAAAGTTTGTATTATGCAAAATAACTTAATTTTATTCTCTTATAATATATATGTATTTCCTCGATCTATATGAATTTTATGTAACTCATTAGCAAAAAAAAAAAAAAAAAAAGGTATATTAACTTTCTCACCTCCTAACTGTAATCTCTCTCCATCGTACGCCATCCGGTTTTTTCTCTTTTCCCTTTACATAAGAATTCCCATTTGTTGAGAATGAAGAGAGCACAGAAATTACAAAGCTGTTTTCAATGAATTCCCTGTTGAAAGGCAAAGCACAGAGTCGCTTATAATAAATAAATGGTTAAAAGCCCAACTTAACAATTTAAATGGTAACGCCATCCAGCTATGTTAAATGTCCAAGTTAACAGACCAAAGGGATTCAATTCTGTTGAATAACAGACCAAAGGGCTTCAATTCTGTTATACAAAATACAAAGCCGTCGGCAAAACAAAAATTCAATTCTTTTATATGATTTCTTTTTCTGCGTGTATTTCGCAGAATTACCAGAGTTGTAAATTTCATTTATTAGAATCGGTGTACGTGAAGTTTAACATAACTTAAATCCATACAAATAATGAGAATAAATGACTGATATGGCTGGTAATTAACAGTGCCGTTACTGTTATTATTGATAACAGAAACCAGAAAAATTCCTTAGATTATTTTCCTAGTTTTAATTGTGAACACATAAGTTATTAATTAGTTGGCTTTGCTTATGATCATTTACATATATATATTTCTTAAGCAAGGGCATGCTCGCGTACAGATCTATTTAGTACATTGCATACATAGGTGGGTTGTCTTGCACATCGAAACACACACACATCCACTCATATACACGCACACAAACACAAACACATAGAGTGTGCTTGTTTCACTTTTTTTTAATTCTCTTATATT